TATATATATATATATATATATATATATATATATATATATGAAAAAAATATTTATAATTTTTTTCTGCAAATGTATTCTTGTTCTACTGAGGCATGTGGGTGCAGACCCAGTGCAGCTTATTAAAAGTCATGTTGTCTTTGTGTCAACACCTCTTTAATTTATTATTTTTTGAAAACTCTAATCTGGGGCAAACTTGTTTCCTTAGCCTTGAAGCTACAGAATCATTGTTCTATACTGTAAATAAACCAAAAGATCTCTTTAATGTCATTCCCAGATCATTCGTCTTATTGGAGTTAATTTATGTAATCTGATTTTGTGTCAAATGCAATTTATGCTTGTTTCTCTGTGTACCAACAATAGGGTCATCCAGGGACGCCAGGTGAAACTGGGCCTCCTGGACCACCAGGGAGACCAGTAAGTCATGATTCTTTTGCACATTTTGGTTGGCCTTGCTGTACATTGTTGTTGCTTATAAACTTTTACTGTTATTGTGTATCTGTGCAAAGGTTTACAACCGATTAAAATCATCATAGGTCATCATTGCAACATTATAAATACTGTCTGTCCAAGATAAACAGCATTTTCAATGTTTATATATATATATATATATATATATATATATATATAAAACAACCTCCACTGCCAGTGTGTACTTCAGAGCATACAGTATATTGAGTATTCTGATAATATTCATTGGAGTGTATAGAGTCATACACATTTACACATGCTGACAGCCCAACTAAAAACATGTTCCTATGGCTATTCGTAATGTTTTAGTAGGTGATGATTCATCTTGGGGTTATACTTTATATATAACTTCAGCAGTTGTAGGTTATCATGTAGTTGGGAGTTCCCTTAAGGTGCAGCGCTTCGCAGAGCACTATGACACCTGACACCTTCCTGCTGAGCACGTATTATCCTCCTGTCAGTCAAAAACCCAACACCTATAACCAATTTTAAGCTGCCACTGCCCCCTCCCCATGGCCACGCTTGGCAGAGAGCTGGCCCAGTATTTGGGTTCAAAGTGGAAACCACTAATCCACCAAAACAAACATAAATGTGGGGCTTCAGCAAGACAGTACTCTGGAGCCGACCCCTTAATTGGCGTGACTGACGGATCTAACGAACCCTATAGTGAGTTCTCGGGGTCACGCTGCTCTCCTCTGGGGTCAAAAGCTTGGGGGCCCTGCGGTAGTGTAAACTTTTGTTATATCCCCTCATTCTTTTCCCCTGACCTTTCTTTTTCACTTTTCATTCTCCCTTTTTTTGTCTTTGTTTGTTAGGGTCCTGCTGGAGCAACTGGACCAGCTGGGACCAGAGGACCCAAAGGCCTGCAGGTGAGTTTGAAAGTTCACCTTTAACTCTTTATGCAGTGGCGACTGCTGGTTCTGTAGTCAATATGTCATCATCTCTAGCTCCAAAGCAAGATGATGAGAAAAGTGACTAAAAGAGCGCGTCTGTATATTTTGGTGTGGATTTATAAAGAGCTACAATTTGTGCTTCTGCTGTTGATGTGCTGTTAGAAAACAAAAGAGGGTAAGGAAGTGATGTGGAGCTGCCTCAGAAATGATGTCATGAGCGTTTAATGGAAATGTCTGCTCAAATGGCCCACATGAAGGTTCAAAGCTGAATGGAGGGACTGTCTCATCTTTCTGCAGTCATTGTTCAGTGAAAAGTCTGGAAAAATCCCATGAAATGCCAAGATCAGGGTTAAATGGAAAATCTTATATTTTGCTAGAAAATTTAATGAAATTTAAAAAAAAAAGAATAAAGAAAATAACCAATGAATGTGGTAGCTCAGTGGTCAGGAAATTTGCCATAAATATGACCAATCTTCAAACTTCACCATTGTCATCAAGTATATCCTCAATATATTGGGCCTTCGTTTAAGGTGAGCAGCTTCCACTGTCAGTACAATGGCTGCTTGACTTTTGCTGAATGACCCAAGATGAAAAGTGTCAGTGCTTCTGTAACAAGCAAGAAATGCAACAACTTTCAGGATAAACCTTTTTGGAAGAATTCTGATTTCACCCCTTTTATATGAAGACAAAATATAATGGTATGAAGATCTGGGCTCTGAAGTCTTGTCTGAGTAAAACGTCTTCATGTGAAATGAGAGTAGAAACTGTAAAAAAGTCTATTTAGACCACATGTCTTTTACATGTTACGTTGGATGTGGAGAAAGAAACACATCTGTCTCCACTCAGACGCAACATTGGAATGGTTTCTGAGATGAAAATATTGAGACGCTGGAGACTGTGTGCATGCGACTGCACGTTGGCATCAGACAATACAGTTTGTATGACTGACGTTTTTTGTGTCTGGACTTTATTGGTGTGGTCAAAAAGTATTTGAACCTGCTTTCTCAAGCATGTGGATGTCAGACATGAAGGATCACCAGTAAGACTAATCAGGCTTTGTATCTAATAACTCCTCATGGAATCTAACAAGACCATCAGCTAAATTTTCCAAACTGAAAACTACATGTTACTCAATATGGGGGCGGCTGTGATTAGAGCAGTCGTCCTCCAATGCAAGAGTTGGGGGTTCGATTCCACCAGCAGTCACATGCCAAAGTGTCACTGACACCGAACCCCTCATTGCCTCCAGTGTGCGTCCCATCGGTGTATGAATGTGATAAAGAACGAATTAGTCTTTGTATAGAGTAAATGAAGCACTTTATTTATGCAGGTTAATCCTATTGAGCCTCGAGGACTCATTTACAAGAGAGACCTGATTATCTGAGACCTGAGTATCTTGATAAGATAGAAAGGTGCTATATAAGTACAGTCCATTTACCATTTACTCATACTTCTACGCAGCAGTCTGCAACAGTTGCTGAGCTGGTTATTGCCCATTGCCTGAAAGTCGAAGGCAAATGATTGTTTTTGTCTGTGTGGTTGTGTTTGTGTGCCTATCTGTTAGCAGAATATCATGAACCACTAAAGAATTGTATATACT